TTTATCTATCATTTTACAACAACAACAAAAAAGTAAATATAGAAAGAAGAAATGGCAAAGATAATCATCAGAATCCAGAATATGGGACATTTAACAAGACAAATAACCAATATTTTCCATAAATAAAGGCAAGAAAACAGACAGACAGACAGACAGACAGACAGACACACACACACACACACACACACACACACACACACACACACGAGAAGTGCCTATAAAGAGACTGAATAGACTTACCAACCAAATCCAGTGAGTAAACCTTGTTTGAATCTTGATTCAAACAGATTAACGAATAATCAGGGAAACTGGAGCACTGACTGGATTTTAAATAATATTAAGAAATTGCATACTGTATTTAGGTGTGGTATTTATATTTTTAAGAGATAAGAGAGAAGTATTTGTAGGTAAAATATTATCCGGGTTTACTTTAAAATAATCTCTTTGGGGGTGGGGAAGATACAGATAAAACAAAGTTGGCCATAGATGGGAGTACCTGGGTGTTCATTATACTCCTTTCTCTACTTTTATGTATCAAGTTTTCCATAATAAAGTTAAATGTGTGCACACAATTTCATTTCTTTGTATCCCCACTGCCATCTCTGTAGTTCAAGTCACTAATATTCCTTGCCTTAGCTATTACAATAGTCAGGTCTTCCCAAAATGATGCTATGTCCTAATTAAAACAGCCAATATATATTGAGTATTCATTATGTTCAAAGCACCATATCAACTGTTTTATATCATTATCTCATTAAACCTCCCAACAATCCTAAAGTACTAATAATACCTCCGTTTTACAGATGATGAAACAAACTCAGAAAGGTCAAGTTGCTGAATTTTATCACAAAGCTAGAAAGTGGCACACCCAGAATTCCAGCCCAAGCAGACAGACTTCAATCACTAACACTATTCCTTTGCCTAAATCCATTAGTGTTCCCCGAAGGACACAGTTAAATTCTTTAACATGACCTAACACCACTTTTAACAATCTTATCCTGGCCTACCTGTCCAGCTTTCTCACTTCTTTCCACCTCATTCACTATGCTTCAAGCATACTGGTCATCAGCTCCAGCTTCCCTTATACTTTAAGGTCTTCCTAAATGTTGGAGTCTGCCTACAACAACCTTGCCTACACAATTCATCCAGCTAATTCCTATTTTATTCTTCAAGCCTCAGCTTAAAAGATTTCCTCTTCACAGACTTTCCTGAGTCCATAAACCAGGTGAGCTATTCCTAAAATATACTCCTGAGCATCCTGTACTTTCCTTTTTCTAATACCCTTAACACTTGGTATTACTTCTTCAATGCCTTCTTTGCTACTAATAACCTTGACATCAAGGTAGCCATTTTCTTATTTACAAATGCATTTTCAGCACTTAGCTAAGTTTTGTACACATGGTAGTTGTTCATTAATGATTAATTTATGAGAAGGGAAGAAATGAGGTACAAGCAAGGAAATTTGCAAATTAGGCAAAGTCAGTGTCTAAAAATAAGATAATAAAAGTCAGAATAGTGTTTACCTTTTGGTAGGGGTGGGGGTAATGACTGTGGGAATAGGAACAAGGAAAGCATTTGGGTTACTAGATTTACTCTATATCCTAAACTTCTATGATTACAGTCATAAAAAATTTTAACTCTATAATTAGGACTTACCTTTTTTACTATATATAAATTATGCCTCAGTAAAGAGGAAGAGGGGGGAAGAAGGGCAGGGAACAAGAAAAGGAAAAAGAACAGAAAGGGAAAAGAGACCTGCACTCCCAGATGGCGTAAGCTTGAAAAAGGGGAGAAATGATGTGGATCTGAATACCAATGGGAGGGAAATGTCTCTAGATGTGGCAATGTGGAGGTAAGAGAAAGCCAACACACTGGTGATTCTGAGATCTAGTGGGTATAGAAAATACTGCTCACTAGAAGGAGCAAAAATTTTCCTCTTGGGGGAAAAAAAAAAAGAAAACAACAAAGTTAAAGCAAGGTTGGGAGGGGCCACAGGGGAGAAATTTCCATTGATGAGGTTGAGGGTATTAGGCCTGTAGCTGAACGAAATTCCAAATGGCAGAATCACTGATTTTTTTAAACAAAATGTTATTTAATTTTACAAATCATAAAAATATACCTTTGTTGCATATGTAGGTTTTTCTATTGCTTCATCACCAATGAAGAAGTCTAGGTCATCAACACCTTTCATTACCCTTCTTTGAGCTTGATCACCCACTTTTGCTGACTCCTTTATAGCAATACCTTTAAAATAAAAAAGTTATTTACACATGTCAAAAAATTTATTATTTTCAAGTGAAACCAATTATTTAACTTCTTCCATTACAAAGTGTTATTAAAACAAAACATGATCTAGAAATTTGAACTATCAAACAAAAGCACAAAGGTCATGAGAAACCAATGACAAAATTCATTTAACACAGTGAAATCTCAACTTCCACCCAGTGACAAGGCCTTAAACGTAAAATGCCAAAACAGAAGTACTACTGTAGGAATACTTCAGTTATATATTTTTTAATTATGTTAAAATCTATTTTAATTTGAAGGGCCGGCCAAGTGGCTCAGTTGGTTAAAAGCTTGCTCAAGAGTTTGAGCTCTGAGCAACAGCGGTTTGATGCCCGGCCTGAGCTGATCTGCCACTGAGCTGCCAACAGGTGGCAGGATGGCTCAGCTAAAAAAAAAAAAAAAAGACTATTTTCATTTGAGTAAAATTGTAATCCCCCCAAGTCAAGATATGCAGATATGCTTGATGATCAATCAGAAAGAAAAAATTAAAAAACACTCACAAATGAAAATAGCAAAATTACAAGGGAAGTTAAAAAAAATAAGCTTTCTTCCTATTTGCTCTATTACAGGTGAGTAATTTAAATATAGCAACGGCATGTGGATCTCTTAAACTTAAATCACATATACAAAAGGAAATTTCAAATCATTTAGGTAAATCGCGGGACAATCCTCTTAATTATCTTCAGAAATTCAGCATATAGTAGTAGACCTAAATCCTGTTACATATTTATTAAGTTATAAATTTCTGAATCCTTCAAGGTAAGCAGTTCATTATTATAATTACCTATAATATCTATACATTTATAATATAAATAAAAAATATATGTGTATACACTTAATCTGACATTCAACTGTTATACATTCATTTAGTAACAATTATATCCTTAATAAAGTAGGTAGAAAATACTGAAGGAAAGAAATTCTAAATCCACAATCTACTCCTTTTAAATGTTAGAAAACGTCTCTAGAAATTCATTTGTAATGTAGAGACATCCAGGTGGCTTACTGTAATTTTCAGAAAAAGGATATATGAAAATTACTTTGAAACGTATCTATAGGCTTTCCAGATCAAATATCCATGCTCATCAGTGGCAATGACTATATCTGCTGATTATAAACACTGCACCTGTAGCATTAAAACTGACTGGGTGAAAAAAAAACTCCAAAATCAAAAACCTCCTTTTAGTAAGCAAATGAATTTTTAACATGCTGCAACCTCTCATAGAGACAATGAAAACTAAAACTGCATATTTTGGCAGAGAGATGGAATACAGAATGGGTACAATGATGATGAAAGCCTAAGGTTCAAAAGATCAAGATTATAAGGATCTCCAAGAATGACTTAACAGCCACTTAACATAAACAAAACCAAATTTTGCAAAGATGAGAGTAACAAATCAGTAATCTACTGAAATAAAAGTTTAATTGCAACATAATGCTTTATAAAAAATTACAAATGTGTTACAAATTTGTTACAGATTACAAAACTTGTTAAGAACAAAATCAGCATTTTATGGGTTGAATTGTGTCCCCAAAAAAAGATATGCTGAAGTCCTAACCTCAAAATGTGGCCTTTCTGGGAAATAGGGTCTTTCAAGTTAAAATGAGGTTAATAGAGTGGGCCCTAATCCAATATGACTGATGTCCTTATATAAAGGGGAAATTTGGACACAGCCACACAGAGAAGGAAGACAATATGAAGAGACACAGGGAGAAGACAGCTACGTGATTTATATACACGTAAAGGAACATGAAGGACTGTCAGCAAACACTAGAAGCTAGATAGAGGAGGCAAGGTTTCTCCCCTAGAGCTGTCAGCAAGATCATGGCCCTGCTGACACCTTTATTTTGGACTTCTAGCCTCTAAAACTGTAAGTTTCTGTGTTTTAAGCCACCCGGTTTTGGGAACTTTGTTATGGCAGCCTTAGGAAACTAATACAAGCATACACAATGGTCTAACACTAAACTCAAATATAACTAAAGTCAAGTACTAGTCCACAAAAATCCTTCTATACTAGCTGTCAGCACCAGAGCAAATATTTGTCATCAAATTCTTAAAATTAACAACAATCAATTTACTGATATATAAGTGTGGAGAAAAAAGTAAAGAAAAACAAACCTGTCCTTCAGTGTAGACAACAAATATGAATAAATAAGACATAATGAAAAAGATAATAGTGTCACCAAACGAAGACCACTGTAGTCAGCTGAATGAGCTATTTCATCAGTGTCACTTAAAATCTGTTCTAGGTATTGGAGAATTAGACTTAGGGTAGTAGCCTAATTTCTTACATAACCAAATCCTAACGAAGTATGCCAAAAGTATATCAGAAGTGCAAAAGTCAAATAGGTTTGCTTCCACAGAGTAAAAAATATACATAAAAGCTTCCCTTTTAGGAATAATTTTGACAGTGTATTTCTCATACTTAACACATTGCATTTTGTTTGAGCTATACAAATGACAAAACAGATGACCTGTTCGTGTCCAATTAGTGCCCAACTGAGACTAAAGATCTGCGGTTTTTGGCAAGTCTAATAATTTTTACCTTGTTCTCAACTTCAGATTTTGAAATCAGCCTAAGCTGCTTTCACTACTCTGTGCATGTTTATTTTCCCATTTCTTTCTTGCCTTCATAAATTAGTAAGAATACACAAAAATATTCAAAAACACACATTCAAACAGTAGTGTGCAAAACTACTGACACTTTCGAAACTAAATTTTCTAAGTGTTAGTACCACCAAGCAAAGGCTTAAAAGGTTTGTCATCTGATATGCTCAAGTCTTAATTCAGCAGTAGGACAAGTAGGTCAGAGGTGTTACTATATAACATGCAAAAGGTGAATTGTTTGAAAGTCAAAAGTACAAAAGTATGTCCATCAACCACAAAATACATAATCCATGCTAACCAATAAGAGCACTAACAAACCAAGTATGAGAGTATTTTTTAAAAACTACGGAAAGTTGATGGTCAGCTAATATGAAGTTCACAATAATAGGATAGAACAAAAACACTGTAAGTATGGTTAGAAGATATTAGAAAACAGCTGAAGTCAACATCTCTAAAGATGAGATGCCTTCCTTATTTTGAAACATGGGCTCTTGTCAGGAATACAAACAATAATATCCACAAACCAAAGGACAATCTTCATAGGTGTGTGATGGGAGGTGCACTACTTAAGTTAGTTACAACCACACAGTTAGTACTAACATCTTCAAAGCAGAAAATTGTTTAATTAATTAATTTGTGTCTTGACAAAGAGATATTAAGAAGACTTGGTAAACGAAGGCTTACACAGAGAGCTGAAATGAAATGGTCAGAGGTGCAGAAACGAGGCCACACATAAATTTTGGCAAACCATGTTTTTAAAGAATTAAGTATTACATACAGTGTGCCAGAAATGATTATCTCTTTTACTTTCATTATTAAGGAAAAGATCTTTAAAAATCAGTTCATTTGTGGCTTAAAAGAAATACTTACAGGAAGGGATGATAAACTGTGGTTCTGTATTTCCAGCATATCCTAGTTTTGTATATCTGCAAACCAAAAAGAATTTCATTAAGGATATCAGTAATACCTTAGCAATTATAAATTTAATTCTTAGATTTCCATTTATTTGAAATAAGATTACAATGTAAGTAAATCATATGTAAAATTCCATAGCTTCAATTCATTTAAACATCTCTACTTCCAAAATTATAAATACTCATAGCTTTTAACCAGAAATTCCACTTCCAGAAATTGATCCTACAAGAATATTCATACATGTGTGAAATAACATAACAAGGCAATGTTATTCTACATAAATATGTACGTAGATGTATATACTGCATTTTGTTTTTTGCTACAACCTTGCTGATATTAGCAAAAGGCTGGAAATAACCTAAATAACCATCAAATGAGAAAGTTAAAACGTTAAATTTATACTATGGAATATTAGGTAGCTATTTAAAAAGAGACTGAAGAAGCTCTTTATGTCCTGATATGGAACAATCTCCAAATGTATTGTTAACTGAACAAAGCAGAGTACAAAACAATGTTTCAAGTAGTCTATATTTGTATAAAAGAAAGGCAAGGGCTAAGAACATAGAAAATATAGTTGATTGTATAGGCACAGACGATCTCTGGAAGAGTATGAAGAAATCAATAATTTTATGTGTCTCCAGGGAAGGGAACTGGGTAGGTGGGAAGGAAATTTTTATTGCATATCATTTCATACCATTTGAATGTACTACTATTCAAAATTATACTTTTTAAAATGGTTTGCCATAGTGGATTCAGCCTATATGCTTACAATAACAAAATAATAACAACAATGATGATTAGAAATGATAAAAGCTGAGATTTGACAAGCAGCACATACTTAGGAGATAGCTGGACACTTTTGGGCTATGTGGGGAAACCTATTAACTATGAGCAGGCTTTAAAGAGCAAGTGACAATATTTTATTATATGATTTCATATTCAAACACGCTGCTAAATAACAGGCAGGTAAATTGCTGATATTCTTGTATTCTAATATCTACAGAAAAATCTGTCTGATATAAAAGGGGAAAATCTCTCTCTTGGGGGTATTTAGTCCCAAAACTATGTTCAAGAACCCTACAATGCCAGGTAGACTAAATCATTAAAATAAGGGGAAAACATAAACTGTTCAAAATGTGATACTACTTTACTGACTAAATCGCTTCAAATATTTCCCAGTGTCCATGTTTTAAATAATAAATAAACAAAATTTCTTTGCAAGGTAAGAAAAGAGCCCCTTTAAATATCTGGCTCCTGAGAGCCTCTCCCAGCCGTCCTGACACCACACCAGACTCCCTCCCTATGAAACTGCTGACAGTTTCTGAGCAGACCAACTCATTTCATGCCGCAGAGCCACTATTAACACTGTTATAACTTAACTATAGGAGATGTGCTCCTTTCAATTCTGACTGCAATGTCTAAACTCTTACTCATCCTGAAAAATTCAGGTTAAGTACCACTGCCTCTATATGAAAACTTTCATAGCCTCCCAGATAGCTGATTACCTGTGCCCTTGTGAGTACAAGTGTTATTTCATAATAATTTCTAACTCTTGACTCCCTCATCTGTAAAATAAGTAACTCAAGATTGCTCACAGTAGGGCCGGCTGAGTGGTGCGTTGGTTAAGAGCTGGCTTGGGATGCCAGAGGGCCCTGGTTCGGATCCCACATAAGAGGGCCAGTGACACTGCCCTCCACAGCTAAGATGCTGAACAACAGCTCAACCTGCAGCTGAGCTGCCATGAGTCACTGGTGACGGAGTAGGCTGCAGCCCCTGCTGCAGTGGGTTGCCATGGGCTACCTTGTGTAGCCAGCAGCCAGAGCGAGCGGCCGTCCAGAAGCCAGCGACGGATTTGCCTCGCTGGGGAAAAGCGCAACGATGGTGCCAACTTGGGTCAGCGAAGCAACGTCCTCCACAATTAGACTGAAGAACAAAAGGACAGCAACTTGTCTGTTCCCCTTCTCCCCAATTCCCCAGCGCTGTTCCCATCCCCCCAATTCCCCAGTAAAAAATCTTAAAAGAAAAAAAGATTGCTCAAAGTAGTAAATAAGAGAACAAGACAAAGCACAGCACCTGGCACAGAGTACATGTTCAATACATGTCAACTCTAATTATAATTACTCTTTTCATCCGTTCTCTTCAAATCTTCCATTCCTCCAATAATCAGATAAAGGTCGTACAGATACCTTAACTTTTAAATGCTTATACTTACGATACAAATTATCCCATTACCCATAAACCAAAGTCAGTCTGTAGATTTTCAGATTACAGTTCATATCTGATATATTTTTATCATCCTTCCACTGCCAAAACTTTTTTATTCTTCCAAGTGAGAGTCTCTTATTCATGTGAGAGACCTTCAAGTGTAGAACAGAATTGTAATAGATGGATATCAGCATGACTGAACAAGTCACACTTCCCTGGTATGAGGACAAAAAAATTAGAACTAATTACTCATACACATAAAGCACCATCAACTGTTATGAATATCCTGTTCCCATTGAATTCACTAAAAACTAATTGTAACCTAGCTGAAGAGGGTATTAGTTAAAAGAAACCTGAAAAACAGAGACTACAGTGGCACTGAGAGGAGGGCAAAGAGTATATTCAGCCTCTCTGGTAGACAACAGGAACTTACTGAGCCTTATCAAAATAAAGACTTCTTTAAAACAGAACAGCCTAAAATTGAGCCACAACACCCTAAAAGTCTACTGTCTTACCAACATGTAGTGGAAGGATTAATGCATAATGCATAATCATTCCTTTAGCTAATCCCTCCACTTTTATTCCCATTTGTCACCACAGCAATTAAAGTCATTATACACAACAATACCCTAACAGACAGAACAGAATGCCCTGCTTCCAATTCTATGACCCCTATGAAGGAGAACAGAATAATCTTGCCCTCCAAACCACTGCCTAACTCAAAAATCTTCACCTGAGGCTCTACTGCTTATAAGTACAAACTTGTTCCCATTACTGCAAAATGATTAATTGTAAATAGTTCCTAAAGTCCCTCTCATAGATAAAAAGTCATGATTCTGGGCCGGCCGAGTGGCATGTTGGTTAACAGCTGGCTTGGGACGCCAGCTCTGAGCAGTTCTGAAGATGCTGAACAAACAGCTCGACCTGGAGCTGGGCTGCCTTGAGTCGCAGGCAATGACATAGGCTGCAGGGGAGCTGCAGTGGGCTGCCGTGAGTAGCTGGCAGCCGGCGTGAGCGGCAGCAGCCGGCATGAGCTGCCAAGAGCCACTGTGAGGGCCGTCCAGAGGCCAGTGACCAATCTGCCTCACCGGGGAAGAGTGCAATGATCACAATACCAACATGGGCCAGTGAAGCGACGTCCTCCACAACTAGACTGAAGAACAAAAGGACAGCAACTTGTCTGTTCCCCTCTCCCAATTCCCCAATAAAATCTTCAAAAAAAAAAAAAGGAAAAAAAAAGTTATGATTCTGATTCCTTTGGCTGAATATCAAGATTCTCCATAAGCCCCAATTTAATTGTATTAAGTCTCCCATCGTTTGCTTCCATAAACCCAACTCACAGCATACTCACTTTCCTCTACATGATTTGCACATTTCCCCTTCACATATTATCTATGCTTACACTTGCACTCTCTCAAAAAGTTCTTACCACAACTTAGGACTCCTCCATGAAATCTTTCCTGATAATTTTAATTTATCAGTCATCTGCTCCTCCAATAAGCTATCTCAACCACTTGCTGAACCTGTAACACAAGTCTATATTGTTATTTTTATGTGTGTAAATACCATCTCCTAAATATGATACTAAAGTATTTGCAGTAGAAACCATATTAAAGTAGAAACTCTCTTAAGAAACCTCCATTTAACAAAAATTCACCACATTAATCAATGCTCCATTCCTGGTCAAAATCAAATTCCCTAGCTTGAGCATCTTCAGCCATAAATTACTTTCAAAACAAACACCAAAAGAGGTATCTAATTAACTTGTTAATACAAAACAATTAATACATAATCAAAACAAGTACGCTCTTCACCAAAACACAAAAATGACTACATACAGTATAAACTGTATGGCTATACCATAACATCTAATCATTTCTACTATATCCAATACACCACAGCAAAATAATTTTCTAAATGTGGGGTAGGGGAGAACAGCCAAATATGTTTATTAATGTTCTACTGCCTTGGATTTAAAATTTTTTAAACATTGCAAAAGAACAAAATCACGTAAAGTTTGGATGCACTGGATACAGGTTACTAAACTGTAGTACTTAATGATTATCATAGAGCAAAATATTTTCACCAATTTTTAAGAAATATAAGGGGAAATGTCCTAGTTCGCTTAACTTTAAAAGTTGCTTAGCCTCTAAAAATTAATTTGGCTCTTGGCTCAAAGAAAAAATGTGGTGTAGAATGCAATCTAAAAAACAGAGAAAGTCATATACTAAACTCTAGAAGACTTGCTGAGTTAGGCTGAACCCTCAAAAAGTCACATTTTTCTCTAGTGGAGAGAGAGCTAGATGACAAAATAAGAATTTCACTCCTCTTACACTATTAGCAAACTTGAAAAACTGTTTTGAAAACTAAGCTTTGAAAATACTCAAAAATTCACAAGAGCCAAAGTTCAGAGAGTATCTAGAAAATATGTCACAAGAGTAAAAAAAAAAAAAAATCGGAATATGACTACAGAACTCTCTGACTTAAAAACGACAGTTTAATGCTCAGGTGAAAACATTTTTTATATGAGCAGAGAATAGAAGCATTTACATAGAGAAAGGAGGAGAGAGAAGAGGAAAAGAGCCTAGGACGATTTAAAGGAACTGAGTCTAAAAGAGAAGTCTAAAAGGATGAGTTGGAAAAGTATATTTCCACCCTTTACATGTCAATGCATACAAAATTTGGTAATATTTGAAGAGCATATTTCAAGAAACTGGAGGGGATTTGGATACAGCTATAAGAGGTTTGCTTAAAAGGTTTAAATTTTCTTTATATTAAATTATTAGGAAAGATGCAATCAATACGT